AGGCGGCTCCTTTCCTTCAAGTTGATTCTTTTGTTGAGACAATCTCATACACCCTAGGATGATCCTCTTACCTCTACCACCTCAGTACTGGCCTTCCTGGCATATGCCACCATATTCAGCTCCCCAGTTTAATTCCAACCTCTCCCACCCCACCCCACCCCCGACCCCGAGTCTTGGAAAGGTGACTCTTATTTTTAAATCAATTTATAAAATCAGAAAGGTTGAAGATAATGAGGTGCTACAGCATAGATGGCATATGTTTATATTGTGTAACGTTTAAAACCTGGCTAAGCGTTTTCATCGCAAACATTTCCATGGGGTAAAAACTCAGAATCCTCTCAGCTTTCTGACATGCACAGAACATTGTTGTTTCCATAGCAACAGCACAGCAGTGCTTCTACTCCCCTCAGCTGTAGCTTAGCAACTGAGATCAACATTTCCCCAACACTCTGGATCTCGGCCTTTTTGAGGGTCATTAATTTACGGAAATTTTACCTTTGGAAACAAAAGTGTGTCTAAAAGATTATCCAGGGTCTCTCAAGAATAGTCCCAGCTTGCTCTTCAGAGTTTTAATGACACAATCTGGGATTCCTATGTGTGTCTCTAATATTCTCTTTGTTCTGACAGGCCAGAGCAGCACAGGAAATAACTGGGCAAAAGGCCACTACACAGAGGGCACTGGGGGGTGGCACCAGTTTAGACATCGTACCCTCTGGCATAGTCTTAGCCACCAAGGTCAAGCTCTGCAACACCACACTTTCTGAGCCCCAGTTTGTGGAGAACACTGATGAAATCTACTGCATCCATGAGACCCTGCATGACGTCTGCTTCTCCACCCTCAAACTGACCACACCCCTATATGATGACCTCACCTACCTGGTGTCAGTCACTCCTCAGGCCAGCTGAATGCAGACCAGAGCATGCTGCCTGTGAATATGGTGCCCTACAACTGATCAGCAGTATCGCCGGCCATCTTTCTGCTGGAAATGCTGGTGCTCCAGCAGTAGAGGTCATGTTCTCCCTAGGATACTGGTACTAACAACAAAACAGGTGCGCGGGGGGGTTAAAATACTAGTACAGCTTCTGCTGAGGCACTGGTGTGATGAAGGCGTCTTGTAGCTGGTGTGGTCAGAGCTGTCCAATGACAGCCCTTGGAACAGGGGCAAAGCAGTGACAAGAGCTTTGGACTGTTCCTTCAGTTCTGAGTCTAAGGCCTCCCTAGAGTAGAAGGGATTCAAAGCCCTGCTTCATGAGGGTCCTGGGAGAGGATGAAATAGTTAAGCCAGGAGCCCCATGGCTTAACTGGAAGTAAACATAGAGAACAGGTGTGATCTGCATGGGGTTGCCATGGGTCACCAAAAACCACCTGGCCACAGATAAAAAGGGACTTCCTAATTAATGTCTTTATAGTAACACTGTTAGTCCTGGCCACTGGTTCCTTTGGCTCTTATTGTTCTAGGACAAGGTAGAAACCTCTATGGATGCAACTCCAGTGGTTCCAGGGCTCATTTACCCAGTTAGCTGGGCTTCTGTGGAAGACTTCTTCTCATGCAGTGACATATTAGAACAACAATAACAAAAAACCTCTAGTTTGCCCATTTCCCATATGGGACTCATGTGATGCTCTCTGGTCTCCTCTGCCACATGCCCTGGGTTGAGCCCTTGCTACCCATGGCCATCATTTGCATATCTAGTGCAAGTGGTTGGCTTTCTTATCATCTTTGGCTCCGTTCTCCATGACCCTTCTTGAGCATCCTAGGCTTTAGAGCATTCTCAACATCTCCTTTCAAATCTCCCATCCCACATCATGGAAGAAGTCAAGTATAACCGTCCCTCTATAGCCATAGGTCCCCTATCAGTAGATTGAGCCAAACTCAAGTTTCAGCTATTTGTGGGGAAAGGCTGTCTGTATATGTACAGAGCAAGACTTTGTCTTGCTGCTCTCTGTAAGCACTACAGTATAAACAGCTATTTAAATGACATTTACACTGCTTAGGTGTTGTGACTAATCTAGAGATGATTTAAAGTATACAAGGGGGTGTGGAAGGTCCTAGACATATACAAACTGTTGTATGGAGGGGATACACATTTGCAGGTTTATATAACCCTTTCCCATGGGTACTGAAGGACAACCTTGCTAGTTCTATATTCCTGTGTAATAAGTCACTACAAACTGAGCAGCTAAAAGTAAAGCAATCATTGTACAGTCTCCAGGGATCAGGAACCTAGCATTGAAGATGAGTCCCTTCCTCAGGACATCACAGAGTGGACCATCCTGGTCTACACTGTCATCTGAAGCTCAGAGGCTCTTTTCACTCAATTCATCTGAGGGCCTTCTCATCTCTACTGCTATTCACCAAAGACTGCTCTCCATATCTACAAGTGTCTAGCCATTTTCTGTGACACAGTAGCCCTCGCTTTGAGGTCAACAGGCGAGCACACTGAGCCTGATGGTCCAAACTGAGGTGCTCTTCTGTCGCAGCTGCTAACAGTCTTGTTTTGGGGGGACCATTAGAGACAGCCTACCCAAGAAACCTTAAGGCAAACTGATGTGAAACCTGCCTATAAAAACCCATCCCAGCAGTACTTAGATTAGTGTCTGAACAGTTGGAGAAGGGGTCATCTTAGAATCTGCCTAACACACATGGACTGTGTAGAATGGAAATAACATAATCTTTGGACTCAGATAAACCTGTGCTTATCACAGGGTAAATAACTTAGCTCATTCGTTAGTAAGCTCTTTGTTTGTAGTGCCAAATGACAAAGGTGATCTGGCTAATAAACTTTGGAGAGGTCACATTGGTCCATTATAATGGAGGAAAACATCCTAATAAACTTTAGAAAGGTCATATATATTCATTATAATGAATATATATAATATTATATAACATTATATATATATATATATGTATGTATTTCTAACATGCATGCTTCGTGTTAGAATAGCCATGAAGTATTGGTGGTATTACATTAGTAGCAACATTTGGGGCTATGAACACTATTATTTCTTGGTATCCAAGGAGATTGGTCCCAAGATCCCCATGGATGCCAATAAAATGTTCAGATGTTTGCATATAACCTACACACTTCCTCCTGTTTACTGTGTGTTGTCTCTAGATTACTGATAATCCCTGATACGATGGCAAAGCTAGGCAAATAGTTGTTTAGCATGACAGAAAAACTGTCTGCACATGCTCAGTGTTGACACCTCTTTCTGTTATTTTTGGATATATTTCATCCATGATTGGTTGGTTCCATGGATGTGCCATGTGCATGGGCTACGTGGGCCAACTATAGAAAAAAACCTTTAAAATTCGTCTTACATCTGACACTTGAAGATAGTGCTTAGGGCTGTTTTGTACATGTGGCACTGAACAAATCTATAGTGACAGATGTGAAGCAGCAACCCTTCCAATTAGTCTGCTGTTTCTGGGGTTAATCTGGGATATAAAAAGACATAACAACCAGAAACGATTTGGGATTTCTCCGAAGGTCCCAGTTATATAGTCAGGGCAGCCCTGGACAGTTTGTTATTGTTGTTTGTTTGTTTTTGTTTTTTTTGTTTTGTTGTCATGTCTGAAGTGCTCTCAGCCCAATAAACACTTTTGAAACGATTACTCCAATATTCCTTTTTAGCTAAAGGATGTCAGTTGGTGTTTAGAAAGCACTTCCCCCTGGATTCAGCCTCCCATACAGACTGCTCTTGAGAAAGCAGCACCGACCACAGTAGGGACAGGGAAGGAAGGGTCGTTTCTGAATCAGAGGCTGAAATACAGCGGTGTGGCCGGGAAGGGACCTCGTGGATGAACACACAGGGCAGCCATCTCCGAGCCAGGCTCTCTCCCCCATGCTTGCAAATGTTTGCTGCAAAACTCTGCCCTGCACACTTTCCGCAAAGGCGGAATTATTAGTCTCTGTGCAAACAACTGGCATCCTTCCCTCCAGAAGAAAAGAAAATATTGATGTCAACCTGCCCAAGTTGCTATTTGCCTTGAAAGCAAAACCGAACAGATCTGGGGCTCTGGAATGTTCTGGAAGAACTGAATAGTGTTTTCTACACTAGCTTAGCAGGATGGAGGGTGGCATGTTCAGCCCCACCCAAATTCCTTGGCAAAACAGATCTTGGTTGAGATGGTAAAAGCCCCTGTTCTGTGAATAGATGATGAGGGAAACAATGTTGCGAAGAAATGGGAACAAGGTCTCTCGCAGGTTAGGGTGCCTCACTCTGCTGCCCTGCGTGGTGCAGGGGGTCCTCTGGGGACCTGCAGACCCAAGGGGCTTAGAGGATCATTCAAAGGATGCTTCAACCGGCTGCTTAAGAGTGCCACTGTTTTGCCACATCTGCAGTCCACTGGTCTTTCTCACAGACCAAGAGTACACAAGGTAACAGAAGGGTGTGCCCACAACAGCATGGGGCACAGAGGGCGGAAAAGATTCAATTAAGCAGAACAGTGGTTTTCAAGCTTCTTAGTGCTGCGACCCTTTAATACAGTCCCCCATGTTGTGGTGCCTGCCAGCCATAAAATTATTTTTGTTGCTACTTCATAACTGTAGTTTTGCTACTGTTATGAATTGTAAATGATATGCAGGATATCTGATATCTCCTCCCACAGGTTGAGAACTACTAAACTAGAGCGCCGTATAGAAAGTAGTTGTGTCAGTCAGCTTCCTGTCCCTGAGACAAAATGCCAGGGATGAAACAAATGTCAGGAGGAAGAATGTTTCACTTGGCTTCTAATTTTAGTAGTTCTGTCCGTGATGGGTTGACTCATTGCTTTGTGGCCTGCGGTGGATGTGGTACTTTAGGGTGGAAACTGATGGTGAAGGAAAGTGTTCTGTGAATGGTGGCTAAGAATTGAAGACTGAGAGGAGGTGGGGCCAGAGTCCCAATATCCCTTCAAGGGTATTCTCTCAGTGATCTAACTTCCTTCTACTAGACCCCACCTCTTAAAGGTTCCGCTACCCCCTTATAGGACCAGATGCTAGCAATCAAGACTTTAATGCAAGAGCATCTGGGAGATATGGATGGTACAAACTGTGGCACTGACATGAGCTGATTCTGACTTAGGCAGGAGCTTATGGGACAGAAGGAATGCACACCGAACCCTCTGCAATCAGGGGCCCAAATAAATCCTCCCTGTCTTGTTTTATCAGATATATTGCCACAGTGGCAAGAATAATAAGGAATGCAAGCTCCCTGAGTGGGGGAGGGAGAGAAAAGGGCAGAGAAGTGGGGGATGGGGGAGGGTAGAGAGGAAATGATCATGCCAGCTGCAATCACTCAGATGTATGTAACCAACATTTGCTATGTGGCAGGTGGGATTGTAACTGCTGTTACACATTGGACTGTTCAGTCTTTGTAACAGCCCCAGGGAGGTCCAGTTGTTCCTCAGTGTCATGGAAATGGGCTCCAGGAGTCCATTAGATACTCAAGTCTCTTATATAAAATGGTACAGACTCTTCACAGCCTATGCACAGCCTCGTTTAGACTACAGATTATTTCTAGATTACTAACAACACCCAACATTATACATATCGTGTTGTATTTACTGTGTGTGTCGTATTGTTTAGACAATGACAACAAAGTTGATACACGCCCAGTTGGGAGCATTTGTTTCAAATCATTTTGACTCCTTAAATATGGTTAGATGAATATACAGATGCAGAGGGCTGGTAAGATGATTATTTGCAGTTCACAGACCAGGAAGTGGGTACACAGAGGTTAGGCCTTTGGGATTGGCACCCACTCACTCAGCCTGTGTGGCCTGTGCTCTTACCAGCCAGGGAATGAGGTGGGGGTGGTTCTTCCCTTCACACTAACAGCCTTAGCCATATGAAACAATTCATTCTGTGGACTTGGTATGTCTAGGTGATGGGGAGCTTGACAGCAGTTGAGGGAAGTTTGCATGTGTCTGGGACTTTGTAACATTGTATCTGATTTAAGTCAAGGAATAAGAAGATAGCGTTTGTTCTTAATCACAAAGGCAAACGTTAAAATTATGGTCAGAAGGAACAACAACACCTCCACCCACAAGTGGAGGAAAAAGGAAGCTACTACCATAGTGAGCAGGGTGGTGGAACATATCTTTAATCCCAATACTTGGGGGCAGAGGCAGACCTCGATCTCTATGAGTTCTAGGCCAGCCTGGTCTACAAAGTGAGTTCCAGGACAGCCAGGGCTACACAGAGAAAAATAAACAAACAAACAACCTCCCGAACAAACAAACAAATCAATAGTGAAATACATACTGCACATCTAGAGATGAGTGGATACACTAGACCTCTTAATACTTTCTAAATTTTAAAATAAAAATGATTTTGTGTATGTGCACATGTGCCCAAGTACATGCACATGCACGTGGAAACCAAAGGACAACTTTTTGTGAAGTCGGTTCTCTCTGTCCACCTTCACGGGGGCTCTGGAGATAGAACTCAGTGGCCAGGCATGTACAGCCAACATCCCTACTTATGAGCTATTTGCCAGCTCTAAATTTTTAAATTTTATAGCCAAGAAGCATGTCCATAACAAATATTTGTGGAATTAGAGCTTAAGATGAGTTCAGCCTCTGGCCAGGAGGAGCCTCTTCCATCTACAAAGGAGATTTATACTTGTAAAAAGTACCTGACACATCCTTGAAGGTGGTTGGAAACTATCACTACACGTTGACACTAAATTACTGTTATCTGATGCAAAATCAATAGATTTGGTTGGGGTTAATGCTGAAACTAATGTTTTCAAAATTTTAGGTCCCTTATAAGTGGGCTGACAAATCTGTCTCAAGTATGTCTGTCACCTACAGAAGGAGCATCAGTCAAGGTTGCAACTAACATATACCCACAGAACACTGTTCCCCAGAGCTTTCTCACTGGGACCCTTCATGGTAGAGCCTGGTGAAGGCCAGAAGGGAAACTGGGCAGAACGAGAGAAGGGTAAGACCTGAATCCATGCTCAGCCATCCACCCTCTAGTCTCAGTTTTTGTCATTGCTACTCTGTAATGCCTTCAGGGCAGGGATGATGCTGGTAGCATCAGGTCTAAAGCAGGAAAATGGCCTACGATTGGAGGACACTGTTGTCCCTTACCATACATGACCTGCCCAATAGCCAGCAGAACTGCCCCTTTTAAATGAGAAAAACAATTAAAAGAAGGGAGGGCTAATTGTTTTCCACAAAGCTCTTCAGAGACCTGTTTGAGAGCAGGGAGAATTACTTGGCTCATTTCCTCCTGTCATGCGCTCTGAGCGCCACAAAGCAGCCATGCCTTGTGATATGATAGTGGGATGGAGTTTGGATAGTCATACTGGAGAGAGCGAGACAGAGGAAAGCAAACAGCCCTCAGATGAGTCACTCCGGGCAGGGCAGGCATTGTTTAAAATCTGTGTTTCCCTGACTATACACTAATAGACATCAGGGCTGGGCGCCCGATGGCGGAAGCAGGCTGCCTCCAGATAATGCCCAAAGCAGATGGTCTTCAGGAGCCTGTTCCTGCCCTGAGCAACACAGTCACTGTTCACCTACTTCCAGGCTACTCAGTGTCCAGAGCACACTGAGTGCTGCTTGTCTCTCAGCACAGTATTTCTACCCAGTGAGGTAGGCTCAAAGGGGAAATGCTGGAGGACTCAGAGAAGAAACAGTAGAAAAGCTGCACTCCCTGAGGTGACCTAGTCTATGTCTGCTAGGGGAACCTCACATCCCAGGGTCATCCCTTCAGAGTCATATCCTCTGCTCCTCTTGGCCTTAAACTTCTACCATGAACAAAGCAACACAGGCCAATGGGCAACTCTCTCCAGGAAAACTTTGTAAAATGCCATAACCAGTGACATTCTCCAAAGCAGGGCCTTTTCTGCAGAGGGTCTGGAAGGTTCTAGCTGATCACGAAGAGCCAAGAAATGGAACTGAAGGCAGAATGGGGAAGAGATGGAGGCCAAGCCTTGTCCCTGAGTATCAGCTGGATAACCTGCCAGTGGGGACCCAACAGCTGACAGGTTATCCAGCTGATACCCAATGGTGGTGGGTGGGAGAGAGGAGAACATTTAGGACATCCATTCCCATCTGAGGAGGTACCAGCACTGCCTGCCTGCTAGGATGGAGGAGCCTGGAAGGCTGGTTCCCTGAAGCAGAGCCCATGAATATGGGACTTAGCCCGGGCTAATTCGCGAGGGACTGGCTTGTGGTTTCCACCTCAGCGAATGACCCAATACTAATATGGCAAGCAGGATCCACCTTTACAACAGCATCACCTTGGACTTTATGGAAGCATCTTTGCTTTATAAGCACAGCCTGCTTTCATATATACCTTCTCATTTCCTGCTCACAAAGCCAGCTCCAAGGCACCTATAATTATTTAATGTTTGAAGAAACTGGCTCCCAAGAGGAAAAGGTGGAGGCTCCTGTTTACCTGTCCACTGTTCCAAACCCAACGAAGAATAACTCCTGTTGGTCCAGCCCTCACACCAAACCTTTGAAACTCACCCAGGGTTTCTGCTAATAGGAAGAATGCAGGTTCCTTGGCTTTCTGGCTTTGTAGCTGTAAACCTTGCTTTTCTGACAGACGGAATCAGGGTAACTATGATGCGTGCTATAGAGCAGTACTAACCAAGAGAAATGTAACGTGAGACCTGAATGTGGACCGCACCAGTATTTTTTATTTTCCTGGCTATCATATTTTTATACGTGTGAGTCATTTAAAAAATATTTCAAACCCTGTATCCAAACATGAACATCGTGACCTGTTATCAGTGGAGTTCTTTGGCTAATTTACCAAGCCCATGAAAACCATTGTTTCTCACACAGCAACATCTCAACTCGGGAGGGACCCTGTGTTTCAAGAGCTCAGTAGCCACCTGTGGCTTAACAGCAACCAAAATTACCTCGCAGGTGGCCTAAGGTTTGGAAGGAGTACACTTGACCTCAGTGCTATATTAGACTCACCCTTTCCTCTTCCTCGCTCTCTTGCTCATGTGCACGCAAGGAGAAATTTCGACATTTAAGAAGAGGCTTTGAGGACCCAGGAGTTCAGAGCAGACATATGACAAATCTGGTTCCGAAGCACTTTTCCTCCCCCAGCCCAGCAATCGACCTGTAGAGCACATCCTCTCTGTCCTTGAAAAAGCAGCCCAGCACCTCTCGGAACACCCCCTCTTCCTCCCAAGCGGTACCCAGCCTGCAGTTTAACGCCCCTCAGTTGCCACCCAGACTTGAAAGAGATGGGGAGGGAGTTCAGTCATCAGCCCAAGATGCACCTGCCCCTGCTCAGATTGACATCTATCTTCAGTTTTGGGCTCCAACTCCAAGAGCCAGGCGACTCCTGTCCTGCTACTGGGGAGGCGGGACCCCAATCTCTAGTCCCTGAGTGGTGGGGAGTGGGTGAGATGGGAGAGGAACCACAGTGTGACCCAAAGGTCTCGCCAGTGGCGGAGCAGCTCAGGTGGACGCTGAGGGGAAGCCAGCAGGATCGGCCAAGGGAGGCAGTAGCGCTAGGTCGCTGGATGCAGGGCGAGCACCCCTGCACCTCGCACCGCGCCCCGGCTCCCTCTCGCGGTGCCGCAGTCCCTGCCGCTCCGCCCCTCCGCCCTGCCCCCATAACGTCAGCGTGGCCGGGCGGGTCCCCGGGTATAAAAGGCTGAGCTGGGGGAGGGCGACAAGTCTTTGCGCTCCCCAGCCCTCTGTCTACGCACTGCTCCGAGGGCCAGCGCCTCCACCCCTTCTGCAGCCAGCACCATGCGCGAGATCGTGCACATCCAGGCGGGCCAGTGCGGCAACCAGATCGGCGCTAAGGTGGGCGCGCCCCTGGGGAGGGAGTGGGTGGGGTCGTCCGCTCGGGCGGGGGTCCCAAGGTTGTGAGCCGGGGACTGAGTCGAGCCTAGGGAAGCCAGAGGAGCCCGGGCCAGTGACGCATTCTGCCGCTGGCTACTGGGCGGGCCAGGTCCTGAAAAGCCGTTCAACCTGCCACGATGAGCGTGACAGGGTGTCTTAAATCAGGGTCCATTACATTGCTTTGGGACACAACCCTTCTGCGAGATGCAGCTGACATTCCTCTGGGTTTTTTCGTCTCTGAAATTTGGGTCGGGGGGGGTCACTGTCATACGTGTTGAGAACCTCGTGTCAAATGTAATTTGTATATATTTTTTTTGTCTGTCATATGAATGAAAAAAATGCAGTGTCATTGGGTTGACAGATGTTACAGAGGCGTCTCTTTGGGCCAACAGACGAGGGTGTTAGACGAATTCCCTTACAAGTGCTCCTCTAGACTTTACATAAAATGCACTGGTCGTCTTTCTCGTCTGTGAGACAGCAGGTGACTGCACAGAATTGGGGCTGTGAGACCCGACTGCAGCCTGGAGGCAGCAGTGGGCATTCGACATGGGTGTGGGCGGGCGCCTGTACAAGGACGTGGTCTCTTTCAACACCGCCATATTGCCCACCCAACCTCCCCACCCCCTTTCCTGCTGCCAAGTCACAATGGAGGCTGTATCCTCAGGATGGCCAGCTTTTTCCAGGGCTGCCAGGCGCCCTGGTAGGATTGCGCTGCCCATCCCAAACATTCCTAGCCCGAGGTTAATACCCGAAAGCCAATATGTAGGTCAGTCAGGTGTATAAAACTGGGCTGTTGAAAGCTGCCATGAAGTCTGTGCCAGCAGTCATTCATCCCATGAGGCGCAGGGGGCGGGGCACCTGATCTTCCCTTCTGCCCTTTCCCATCCATCAGCCTGTATGTAGTAACATTCAACCCTGTCTGGAGTGAGAGAATTGCTGCCTCTGCAGTTCTGGCAGGGGATCTGCTGTGCCCACTTCCTTCTCCAGGCTCCTCCCAGCCCTGCATCT